TGTGTATGGGAGTGTCCAAAGTTACAACAATATTGGAACTTGGTTATGCAAACTTTGTCAGAGATTGTTGGAGTGAATGTACCTGCTGGGGCCAAAATGTGTGTTTTGGGTATTTATCCAGAGAACTGTGCCTTTAATTCCAGACAGTTAAAATTGATTATCTTTGGACTCCTGCAGGCCAGGAGATTAATATCTCTATACTGGAAAAAAATGGATATACCATCAAATCACATGTGGGTGAAGGAGATGACATCGTGTATGGCTCTGGAGCGACTCACTTATATTGTCAGAGGAAAAGGAGCAAAATTTAAAAAGACATGGTCACCGTTGACCGAGTTTCTGAAACGTTACAGAGGACATTAAGAGAACTGTGCTGAGATGGCTGGGTTTTTTTTTTCGTCTTCTTTCTCTCATTGTTCATTATTGTTTATTTGTGTTTGTTTGTTTTGGGGACCAAGTTATTTAATGAGAATCTGTGTTAAGTGTATCACTGTCACTTGCTTTTTTTGTTATGTTATAAAATTCAATAAAAAATATATAAAAAAAAAAAATTTGAGTTGCAACAATACTGCTACCAGTAAGGGGCGGGGCCCCGATCCAGCACTAAAATATACACACACATCAATTTCAAACAGATGGTATTGGTACGGCCGATACTGCACAGCCAGGTATCAGTAACGGTATCAGGGCCAAAAAATGGCATCAACACTACCCTTAATCATAAAGCTGAGTTTCTCCATGGCAACAGAGCTTGATAATGTAGATATCCAAGTTTTTAATTAAGTCTGGTTACAGATTGCCAGGATGTTGCTAAACTATATTTGGCACCAAACACTAAATGATGGACATTTGATCATGCCGGCTCATTTGAGTTTGAGTGGGAAAAATTCCTAAAACACGTAACCTAGGACAGTTTTTATGTACACTACAGAAAATAAACTACGATAAAATAACTGCAATCAGTGATGATACTACATAACTGTTGTATTTTTATTATATATTATACTACATAACTGTTGTATTTTTATTATATATTATACTACATAACTGTTGTATTTTTATTATATATTATACTACATTTCTAGGAATACATGGTTTCCTATCTATTTGCTTGCCTTAATGAAGAATATAAAGATCTGGTTTATTGTGATCAAAATGTTTTACTCTAATAAATAAAGCATCAATAATATTTTTTAGAATAATTATGACAGAGATCCTTAAAGGAACTGAAAGAGTTTATCAGTGCTAGTCAGGAAGAGATAATATTCCCAAAAACGTTCCACTGAAATCCTTCTTTTTGCAGCCCAGATGCCTTTTCACTCATTTTATTCACAGAATGAGTTTACCGCTGTGTTCATACCAACAGCACACAATCAGCTATCAGCTTGTTTCTGCACATTATATCGTCACATAAAGCAAAATCCTCTAAAGTTAAACCGCTGCTGCACCAGAGAAAACTAAACGTCTTTCTTTTTCGTAGGTAATCCTCCTGGCAAAGCAGATCATAATATTGTTTTCTGGTGTGAAATTAGAAGAAAGCTATTATAGAGGTCCTGCCTTTCTTTCTTGCATATTTGTGCTGTTATCACAGCTGTGGAATCAATGGGAGTGTCAAGGGGAGCTCATTCACTGATGGTTTGTGACATTCTCTTTCTAAATTTGGAAGGGTGTCAGTGAACGCAGGCTGCTGGATGAAGGAAACCATGGCCTGACCCACAGCATGCTGGCAGCAGCCTTGATAGGCAAAAGGCCTTGAGTTTGTATTACTTCCTTGGATCATTGCTTCAGGTCCTGCTACGGTTGCCTGTTAGGGCCAAAAAGGAATATGCTTGGATCAGATTGAGGCTGGTTTGTATTCACATCAGAAGCAAACTGCAACATAGTCTGCTTCAAGACCAACTTTACCAAATGTTCTCTCCAGGCAGACGCTAGCGGATCAGACTCTGGATCAGCGATTATTTCAGCACAAACGATTTGAACCAGGTGGGAAAAATAGATTAGATTAGATTAGATGAGCTTTATTGATCTCACAGCGGAGAAATTCACTCGTCACATATTGGCATAGTAATTAAAGAAGGTGCAAAACAAGGAGGAAAAAGGTGCATTAAGAATAAACAGTATATATACAGTATATCCAGATACATACAGTATATTAAGATAAATAAGGATTAAGGATTAATAAACCTGGTCCTTTTAAAAAGGACAAAACGTGTTTCAATATCGCCTCATTTCCACCAGCCCGATGAAACCGATGCATGCAGAGTTCAGACTGAGCTTGGATCAGTTAGCCGCGCCGAGCTCCGTCCTTATGACCATTTACACATCAGGCTAGCTCCTCGCCTCCTATTGGCGGGCCACCATACTACACCATACTACAGGAATTACTCAAACAAAAACGGCGGCGCTTATAACATTCAGGAACTTATGTTTGTTTATATTAGTGATATTTCATTGTTTGTTAGAGAAGGCATTGTTCTGGGTATCATCCCAGGTTGCACCGCGCTCTATTGATGCCATTTACTGTTAACAGGCTGAAGTTGGTGATGTGGACAGGTGAATTACAAAGCCGGATACGTCAGAAAACCAACAAAATGAGTCAGCTGACTGTAAATAGGAGATGAGGCGGTTTGCTCATGCTCTCTTTGTTATCACAGAACAGAGCCACAGATGAACTAGTGCTGGCTTTATGCTGGTGGAGATTCTCAGGCATCCAGGTCATAGTCATTTCAAAAAGTTAAAGTTAGAAAAACAATCCACTGAACTTTGTTTCCAAGCTTGAGGACATTTCTCTGAATCCAATTAAAATCCTGTGTCACACCTGATGGTTGTTTCCACTCATTCTCTCTCTACCCAGTCTGAGTCTGAGCTGTTAGGAAAATCTGCAGCAGCAGTAAATGCAATAAAAAGTTTTGATTTAGCAGAAGGAATAAAAACACAAACATACAGTATTTTTTATTAAAACATAAAAAAGTATGCTTTGTCTCATTTATGTTGATTTATTATCTAGAATTCTAATTAAAATAATTTAAAATACGGTGATTAAAATGCAAAAAAACTATGAAAAACTTGGAAGTTTTGAAAAGTTCTGCAAAAAACTGACCTTCCATTCATAAAATGAACATATTGGATGAAACTAGAGATTAGAAAAGCATCAAATGAAAGGAATAAAAAAAAGTAACATGAACTCCAGGAATCAGCCACTAATAGGGATTACATTGTTTCCACTAATAAGCTCATTATGAACCTTACAGTAGTCTTAATCTGCTCATAATTAGGGGTGAGATGGAAAAAGCAGAGTCCTGCTGGGCTCCGCTGGCAGACAGGGGCCAGTCATGCCTCAGGCTAACCAGCAGAGTTTGCCATGATTGGAGAGATATTCAGAAATGCTGAGATGAGAGGCTGAAGGAAATGAGTTTTAGAAGCATCCAGATGTGTCGCTGATGTTTCCTCACATCAAACTCTGAATGATTCACAACCAAAAAATAAATCCAGCACCTAATCAGCTACAGCAACTGTTTCTCTTCCAACCAGAGGAAAGAATGTGTTCGTAAGAGCAGTGCCACGCTATTACCTTTCTGCCTCCACACTTAAAGCATATTGGCTACTGCTGACTGCTGGTGAGCAGAGCTTACCGCCTGTTCTCCATGCAGAAAATAGCTAAAACTCTCATTTATTCTTTCATTTTCAAAAAGACCCATTAAGCTTATCTTACAGTTTTCTACTCCCACTTTTTGATGCTATTTGTGGTAAATTCAGCACTAGATCTAGACCTATTCTACAGACAGTCCATTAGTCCAAAACTTCCATTAGTCTAACTTGCCCTAAAAAGGGTTAAGGGGAAACCTGATTACCAACAGAAAATTTAAAGATGCACCATGACAACAAAGGTTGCGGTCAGAGCACGTCTGCATGAATGTCCTGTTTGTTGACCCTCAGATTCTCCATGACCACTATTGGCACTCTTACAACCCTAACAATGACATCTGTGTCAGTCCGGGGCTCTTTGGGAGGGGCCTGGCTAGCCTGACGTAGTCCGACTCAATTCTAGTCAGAATATGAGTCTGATACTGCTCCATAGAGCTGTGATTATGGGGCGTGTTTCGAACGAACCAGGAAAAAAAATGCCTCTGCACTCAATTGGATAGACCTACAACCAATAAGAGCAACGGAGTGCGTGACGTATGTTAAGCGAAGCATAGTTGTTGTCCACAAAAATCAAAGCGTGCAGTTTCACGCCTAGAATAAGAAGATGAGTCTTGATCGTGTTTCTCTGTTCCTCTTTTAAAATTAATTTGCTGTCGATATCTTCTAGAACAGACCTAATAGCAGAATCTACTCACCCAAACTCTCCAGCGGCAGCCATTATTGTTGTCACCCAAGCGCGCTTTGGTCACGTGCTTGATTACGTTACTCTTGATCATCTGTCCATCATTGTATAAAGCCCGCCCTGACAATTTGATTGGATCGCCTGACAGTGGGCTATAATACTCGCGCTACTACTGAGCAGAGCCAGACCGAACCTCCCCGAACTCAAACCTTGTGGGCGGGACTAAGTTCGGACTGGCACCCAGGCTAGGGCCTGGGGCCCCACACACCTGCTATTGAGCATATCATCCTGCTGACGTAGCCTTATAAAATGCTCATACACTACAACACTCATGTATATAAACCGCAGGCATTTAGATCCAGGCGTTCATGGAGAGTTATGCTTCATGCTAAACGGCATCTATATGTGACCCTTAATCACATTATGTCATCTTCATAGATCAGTGCTTATATTGGGAACAATACAAGCACTGACCAATGAACAGCCAGCTTCAATTGTTCCACTAATGAAACAACAGCTAACTTTTAGAGAGAAAAGTGAGTCAACAGATCCTAATTTCTGGAGACTTAATTCATCTGACAGATGATAGGCAGGTGGTTCTGCATTAACGGTACGATTTAAGTAAAACATATTAAACATCACATGGAGAAAAAAAAGATGTCCAGGTTCTCACCGCTGTTGATAGTCTGGAAGCCAGCGTCATCTCTAAGTTCCCTTTCAGCCCCAACAAAGCGGGAACAAGGATGAAGACCTCTGACACCTTGGTGAAGACCGTCCAGTGCTGCAAAGACCACATTGGTTAGCACGTTCTTAAAATCCACTTTAACCGGTTTAAACAAGACATGATCGAGAACCCAGCTGGCTAGTTTACTCAGCACGTTGGCTAGCATTCATTATTTGCATTATCGTAGCAGCTCAGATTAGCAGCAGTTATGCTGCTAATTTTAAATAATTCTAGTTCTTCTCTAATTTTATACATGATTCAAATCTTACATGATGTCATCCAGATGCTGAGAGGCCTGATCAACAGGCAGAAAGAAGGATGTTTGGAATATTTCTATTACTATTGACAACCTGTATGTCCCCATGAGGACAAATAAAATAAAAAGTCTAAGTCTAACCTGTTTATAGACTACATAAGAAACACAAAGAGGTCATCATCATCATCATATTATTATTATCATTATTATTATTATCATTATTATTATTATCATTAAACACGCATTATTAAATCTGTGACTGAATTAATTCCATCCATCCATCCATCCATCCATCTATCCATCATTCATCCATCCATCCATCCATCCATCCATCCATCCATCTATCCATCATTCATCCATCCATCCATCCATCCATCCATCCATCCATCCATCCATCCATCCATCCATCCATCTATCCATCATTCATCCATCCA